ACGAACTGAATTCGAAAGCTGAGGTGGCGGGAATGCAGCCCTCCCACTCGGCGCAGGAAACGAATTTCACGTACAACTCGGCGATGAATGCGCGTTGACAACGATTTATGCTTGGAGAGGATGTCGAACGATTTCTAAACGGCGAATTCCGAATTCTCGTAAATCATCCGGGATGGAAGGTATGTGGTGGAAGGTGGTGGAACGTAGGTGGATAGATGGTATGCAAAAATTCCAAGCTTATTTTATTCATCCGCGACGCAAAATTAAAAATTGATTAATTATCGAATATCGAGTTAAATCGTTGTTAAATTGTTGTTTTAACGCTTTCTTTTTTGCAATTTTTTGATTATGCAAAGCGTTAATTTTAATTTTTATTCGGATGATGGTTTAATTTTATAGCATTAGGTACTTTATAAGTTAATTTTATAGTATTAGATATTTGTAATTCTTAAATTACGAATGTATTAATATGTTAATGTCGCGAGACTAAGCTTTTCATTTCTAATTTATTTACAATTATTTTGACATTTTCTTCTTTGATAGCTCTTGCACAAGCAAGAAAGGAACGTCTATCTATCCTGGGAACAACTTTGTCGAATCGATATTTTCGATGTCATTAACAACCGGCTATCTTGTCGACTTCCTGTGTCGCTGTGGCTATCAGCAACAATATATATTATACTCTTCATAGTTAAAATATCTTATTTACCACATTTTTTCATCAAAGGTATATTAAAATAACGTTCCTTATCGAAATACAATTAAAAAGCTAAAGTTCTAGAAATCTAGAATTAGATTTTTATTTTTCGAAAATCGTGCAAAAGATATTACTATAATTCTTTCAGTTTTCAATGAAGTATGTAACTTTAAATATTTCTTATTGTCTTCTAAAATATATTCTTTCACTTTCATATTGCTTCTAACACTGTTGTAATAATTGACAGTTAACAAATTTCACTTTCGATTAATTTTTCTTCTTCGATCTCTAGAATCAACTACACCCTGTATACGCACCTATTGCCGACAATTCCATTCGTCGAAAGGAAAAAATCGGTCGATACCTTCATGCCCCCAGGCTGTTATTTTATTCTCGTTATCGCCGATTTATTAGTCGCGATGCGAGAGAAAAATCGCGAACCGCTTGCGTTCCTGCTCGCCACTGCTGGAAACTCTCGAGGCGCCTCTCGGAGGCACCTTTCTTGCGAACGCGGGCAACGTATAATTACACGCAATTGTCGAGTTCTCCTAGGTTGGATCGGTTGTGATCTAATTGCCCGATGATGTCTACTTCACTCGGGTGGATAATTTTCGAGCCATGATTCGTTTCTGCAACCGTGTCGGGGGCACAACCGATGAAAGTGAACGGCTACCTCGCCTCGCACCAACACTTTCCCGCTCTTTTTTATTCCCCCTTTGTTTACCTATTCTGGAACGCTTATGGGGAATGTTATGTAAATGTACAGAAAAGAAAGGAAAAGAAGAAAAGAATGCAAAGAAAATAACGAAAATCTTTGATAATCGTGTATTTTGCGTAAAATACACGACGATCGATGAAAATTTACTTTTCAAAAATTTGAGAGCGGGAAAAATAGGAAGTTTTTATGGGGCGAGGGGCCCAATCGAGAAATGTTATGACAAAATTTCAGGGGAAATTGGCGTGATGCGCAAATTATCGGTAATACCGTGGAAGCCTCGATCGATAAACCTTCAGAATTCCCCGTCCATCGTCTCTCTCATTTACCTATTCGTCCCATAGTTAGTCTTCCTGCAAACTTTTCGATCGAGCTCCGTCCAACTTTCGTACTCCGACCCTGCAACGGACATTTAAATGCAAATACACTTTTTACTTATATTTATATGCAAATTCGAGCGTTCCCCGGGGGACGGGGAGAGAGAGCCGAGAGACGCCACGCGAATGGAAACGGCGCTGAATTGAAAGGCGAGAAAAAGGCAATGGCTTTCGTGATACCTTGCAATTATATCGCGTGTCGCTTTGTCGTGGTGTTGGTTAGATACCAAATATCATAGAAAATAATAAGTTAATTCTTAGGTCGATAGTAGGAATGCGTTAGATTAGAGAATAACGTATACCTTTCTAAAATTTACAATTAATTAAACAGAATCTCTGAGATGGCAACTGATAAATTATAAATCGCGAATCATCGAATTTCTTTTTACAATTTTATTACGGGTAATTCGTGTAAAATTTGTTTCCAGATCAAAACACTGAACAATTTCTGAATATGGGCCAAAAGTATCTCAAGAAATTGGAGAAAAATTTGAATGATTTCGAAACAACATTCTCTCGAGTAAAATTATCTTGAACGTTTGAAGATAAGGAGAGGATCGATTTACTTTCTCTGGGAAGACGGTTGCATCCTTCCGGTCGGGCAAAAAGACACGTCGTTTCGCGGATCCTCGATCACACCAGTAGTTCGGTTATCGTTATCGGTTATCTAAAATTCTCTCCACGTTCCGTGTGTCGGAAGCAGGTTCTCGTGGCGCGGAGATAAAAGAAGCTGCCACGTTTCTTTATCTTTCTACCGATTTCCTTTCCTCCACCGATGCAAAGATTCGTTTACTTGTCGTCGGACAATGCGAAAATACAGCGAGAAAGATGAATCTAATTAAAGAAAATGGTGGTTTGCACTTTCGATTGTCGAGATAGAATCGATTGGAGATTTGCTTTGCTGATTTTATTTTTAAAACTAGTGTAATTAAAATATTTATAAATAGATGTCGTTTTAACGTACCATAGTATAATATTCCTTCGATAAAAAAGTCCAACTAGAAAGAAAAAAAAAATTGTCAAAATTCACGTATATTTATAAACGAATAAAAGTCGAAATAATAATATTTAGCAAACTTGGCTCGAATTGGTATATTCAATAAAAAAAAAAAGAAAATAAATAAACGAAAATAAAAATTCGAGGAATCATTCTCGATTCTCGCGGAATCATCGAAGGAGAGATCTCTGAATCGGCGACGCCAGCGAAAGAGAGGAGGGATATTTAAAATGTAGATGCACTCATTTAAATACCCCATCCGTATTCGCGATTTAATCGTTCCTTCCTCTCTCCTCCACCCTTTCTTCCTACACCTCTCCCTCCCCGCCATTATCCTCCGACAACGAGAGATTCTTCTTGGGAAAGAGGGAGAAAGAAAGAAAGAAAGAAAGAAAGAAGAAGAGAGAGGAGGGCGCCTGTGTAATCCGAAAGTTGTCAGCCGCACATCGCGTATTTGCTCTAATGGAATTTGAATGTCGTTAGTCGAAGTAACCGGGCGTGAGGAAAGGGATCTTATCCCTATTACCGCCTCGATCCCCGTCGATTCCTCCTGCTGGTGGACGGGCGCCTCAGCCTCGGCCGCAGGTATCGCCGTCCGTTGGAAAGAAAAGCGATATATAGGTTTGGCGGACGAGAGGTGTATATTAGGGGGAAAGGGCGTGTGCGAGGGAAAATCGTTTTCATCGCCTGTTTTCGAACCGTTTGATCTTTTGTTTCCCCCCTCCTCCTTCCTATTTTCTACGTGCTCTCTTTTGTTCATTCAGGGGCGAACGATTCGAGGGGGGAGAAAGGGAAGACAGGAGGAGAAGAGAAGAAGAAGGGTGTGGTGGACGGAGATACCATGGCAACGCGACGATTGTTAGACGGAAATCCTCGATGAGAAGTAGATCCACGATATTATTTCCGACGGCGAGAAGTGCAACGAAGAAACGATTCGATCTCGATCGAGAAGAAGAAGAAGAAGAAGAAGGAAGGGGTGGTGAAACGAACGTAGCCGAGAATCGAAATTCGACTTGTGAAAAATGGCCGAGAAGCAAGAATTCAAGGTTCTCTTTCGAAGGAGATGGCCTCAGTATATTGGCGCGATCTCAGGTTCCTTGTCCATTTTCGTAAATCTCATCTCGTTATCATCGCCGTTCGTTTCACGAGAATTTATTTCAATCCGAATCGTATCCATTGTAACCTATATAAAAAAAAAAAAATCTCGGCGATATATCGTTGACGATTCCCTTGGATAGTGGCGAAGAATTTCAATTTTGGAACATTGGAAGATTGGAATTCTTGAAAATTCTCGACAAATCTTCACGGGTTTCGCAGAATTTTTTTTTTTTTTTTAATTATCAATGGATCGTCAAAACTTTCACGAGTTTTCCGAATCTTT